ATATACACACACACACACACACACACGTATATAGTATAGGTAGATTTGTAGACACCTTGTCAAACACAGAGCAGAGATGTCAAATACTTTGTCATTTATATATACATATGTGTGTGTGTGTGTCACCATAGATATGTACAAACTATAAATGTTTCTAGAAAGAGTATATAAACCAAATTCCAGTGCAGCAAAACAACTTCAAAGAACCTCAATTAATGTACAAACCCTGTCTTGACAATGGCATTGGAGCAGAAATATGTTAAACACTAGATTTGCACGCATGCACGCCTTTAATGACTTTAATGCTTAATTAACGCTGTATATGTATATATGTATTAAACAGTGTACAGGGTTGTATGACCTAAAATTTGTTTTACTAGCCTTCTGCTGTGGGATTTCGGTGTAGACGCATACATGCATGCAATATCGGCTTTCTGCTTTTCGGCCTTTTACAGTGACAAATAACAACTGAACATTGATCATGATGGTCTTTGATGATTAAGTGCAACTTCATTGCTCTGACTAAACCAACGCAATTGTTTCTCTGTTGTATTTGTGCAAATACATACACGGAGGAATGAAATTCAATGATTGTATAATGACATGGGAATAGGGTCTGGATCAAATAACATTTGTTAATGGGGATATTGGGTACCTTCCTGATTAAAAGGCCAATTACTCCATTAACTATTCATCCTTTTAACTAAATGACTCATGTCAATAAATGGGATGCCTTTAATGCATTTTTGGGCCATTTGGTTGTTTGCTTTTAGTAAAGCACATGCTTGGTTTGGCCTAAATGTGTCAATATGTGCCTAGCTTTGTAAGTGTGTGCCATGTATTTAATATAGCCAAAGGGCTATAGGCTGATTAAATGACTGCTTTGAATTTAAAACAGTGTCCTGTTGCTTTGGGTATAGAAGAAATTCTATCATGTCTTAGTGTGTTAACATCATTCAGTTTAATGTATTCAAACTCAGAAAGTCATGGATGGCTAGCCCTCATTTGCAATCATGTGACATGATTTTGTTTTTTCATTTTTACAGGTAAAGGCACCAAACACAGTCTGTTTTCTTTATACTGATAAAATTGTTCCTTCAAAATAAAAGAACAAGTAGACTTGCTGCAGAACCCTTTCTTACTCTTCTAGTAAAATGGACTGTAGTATATGATGCATTTATTTCCCAAAAATAGAAATTTAAATTCTTTAAGGGCAGTAGCAGAAGGAACGGGGTGGGTGAGGGTGGGGGATGGGGGTGGCTGGGACTTATGCCACAGGGTTTGCAAGACTGTGGTTAGAGGTCAAAAAAAGTGCAAACGGATGACAAGAGTTGTATATGTTCCAAAAATGTCCCCCAAATAAGAAACTTGACAATTTAAGAAATGAAGAGAATAGCAGATAGGGTAGATATGTTGTCATTTATATGTGTGTTTTTAAGCATGTGTTAATATCTTTGTGTTAATTGTTTGTCTGTATTTTCATTTTGATGGAAAGAAATTCTGGTATTTTATGTGCGAGTGTGTGTAAAAAGGAGAGAGACGGAAAGAGAGTGGGTGAAGATCAGCAGAGGAGAAGTAAGGAGAGTCAGAAAGAGAAATGCTTACAAACCCATATTGTAAGTTGGAATTGAATTTATACAGAAGAGCAAAATGCTCACATTTTTTACTGTGTCAACTATTTTGCTCTTTGTGTGTGTGTGTGTGTGTTACTGATGGGTGGTCTCGCTCTAGTTGCTTCACTTGAAGTTGCACATTCTCACACGCATGCATGCATGGCTAAACTTTGCTGAGGAGGGAGGCCGTTCCCTAGACTTTATTTTTTCTTTGTAACATGCACATACAAACATATTTGTCAGTGCATAGGTTTAAGTGCACACACACACACACACACAGTCTCTTGCTCCCTCTTGCCAAATATGTGTATATATGTGTACATGAGTGAGACTCTTATGCATAAACAGACACACATACCCATGCACAGGTGTTGTCAGGAACCTACATGAACTCACACAAAAACGCATTCATTCATACATACAAATACTTGCCACATTTACCACCCATACACACACTTGCTCTGAGCTTATCTCAGTGCAGTGTGCAGCGGCTTTTGAAGGCAGTAGGGGAGCCAGTTGTTGACGAGCCACTTAATAATTCCCATGGACAGGCATGAAATTCTTTCCTTTTCTTTCTCCGGCTCTTTTTCTGTCTCCTTTACAGTTGCTCTAATATTCCTCTTCCTGTTATGTTTTATCTGCTAATTTTCACATTCTCCATTTTCTGAAAATTTGTTCTCATTCATTCATTTTTCTGTTTTCTCTATTTTTGCATCTTTTTACTTTTTGTTCTGACAAAATTTCTTTTGAAAAATGTATGGACTATATTTTTGTCAAAAACACAGTGTCCAATAGTGCTGTTTCATATTGCAGATTGCATAATGACCAGGTAAGGTTTTTTTTTTCTGTTTGAGGTCTTTCTTCCCCATACACGCTCTGAAATGATACCTTCAATCTCTTTCTGTTTCTGGAGAGAGGAAATCCAATGAGTAAGGCTCTTTTTTTGCTGACACATTGTTAAGTTTAGTTTGAGTTTGGTGGTATGTAATGGTGACTATATATGTTATGACATGTCCTTATACTCTCAAAAAGAATGAAAAGCTTTAGCCTTATCCTGCCAATTCTATTTCTTTCAATAGCTTTCATACAGACCAAGAGAAATTTTACAAACCCTTATCACTCCTGTCAGTTTGAGACACTAATAGCAGATGCAGCAGATGCAGCAATAGTTCCCATGTCATAAAAACACATATTCATGAATAGAACAAAGACTATAAGATATTTGCATAATGCAGAGCTAGCTTGGCTCGCCCTCAAACAAAGAGTGAGTATTCTCACTTAACTCATAATTTCTGTTTCTGCTAAGCTAAAAATACAGGTGAAAATTCAAACACCTCCACGTACAGTGGAACTGAAGACCCGGTGGATTTGTTTCATTTATGATGGCAATAGGAAAATCCTTAGCATATTGCACAGCCAGTGAGACTAAAATTAGCATGAGATTTAATTGTATAGATACAGGACAGAGGTTTGTCAAAATGTTAATGCTCAGGGAAAATTAAACTCAGGTCAGTTTGATACTGTATGTAACAAAGGATTAAATCATTTCAAAAATCTTGAAATTTGAAAGTCACTAGTAAAATATAGTTAAATAAAGAGTAAAGCACTTTTCTTTCTCTGAAATTACATAATGCTTTATAAGGTATCAACTACCTAAAATACGCATTAAAATGTCTGTTTGGAAAGACTGGGAGTCAACTTGTGCCAGATTTTCCGTGACTTCTTATTTCTCAAGATGTCCACTTCTTAACTATCCTAGTAAGGTAAACTTTAAAAACATCAAATATTTTTGCAGGATAATGTGAATAACTGGCTTTATTTCTATACCATAGCTGGATATTTGTCTAGAAGATGCACGCACACATAATTGTGACTGTGCCAAATCAAATAACTGTATCATAGCCTTGCTCTAAGTTTAACTGTTTCATCATCATTCAAATGTTGGCAAGTCCCGTTTTTGTGCCTATAGTATAAAAAGCAGAGATATAAACGTAGTATTTATGGCACTACTGTGGCGAGTGCCTCAGGATACTGCACACATTTTATCATACATATATATAGATATACAGAAAAACAGACACATTATCTACTGTTCTGGTTATTTTATAAAGCCCATCTGCTGCTTCTTCCACCTCAGGGCAGATAAAGAATATTATTGCTGGTTACCTGTGCGTAAACAGTGTTTTTATTAAATGGGATTGTGTGTGGATCAGAAGTCCTATTCGTGTGTGTGTTTGTGACATCTTATTCTACTTATTTAGTTGCACTTATTTTCGATACAGTACACAGAATTTGCCTCTGAGCTTGAAACTGTTTCTGAGCAATGTTGTTCCTTTATAGTGAATAAAATGGCCTAAACTAAATATCAGACACTTATTCTCTGTTTCTTCTTCATCTTCTCTGCTGGCATCATGTATATTGAGCTTAATTACACTGGTGTCAAATTACAGACACATATACATACTTCCCATCCAGACACAGGGGCACAGAACAGTACTCTGTAATCAGGCTCGTATGTGTGTGTGTTGGTGGTGATAAATGCCCCCTTGGAAACTCAATGCCAAATAATCAAGATTGACACTGGCACACAGTGTTCTGAGGTGTGCATGTATGCTGGTTTGTTTGTACTATTTTTATTCAAAGGATTTAATCAAATGTAATCATGCTGATTACAATAATCACAAGGTTTATAATCACCTTTTCCCCTCTCTCTCTCTTCCTTTTAAAAACTCTCCATCGTCTCCACACATTCGTTCTTCCTCTTTCTCCTCTTGCATCTTTCACCATCATCAGTAAAGTCTTACTTTTCATGTACTTTGAGTATAGCATGTCAAAGTTTGGGTGGGAGTTTAGTCTGAAGCTCTGATAATGCCTGGTGGCTTATTATTAACACCGGCATAAATTTCAGGTTTCCCCAGCATATCATCTCAGCTGTCTAATTGAAAGACAGTGCTGTGCTGGGTCTTATCCTGTATATTAAAAGTAAATAAAAATAATATAGAAACACATGCACACATGTTAAATCCACACAGAAAGCCCCAGAGTCGAACCTTGGAGCTTCTTGCTGAGGGCAGTGCTAGCTCTTTCATCTTAAGTTTCAACAAAATTATTTGAGAAAAATGACATTTGACGTAATTTAAAATGTCGAATGATAGAGATAGAGATAGAGATAGAGATACACACACACACACACACACTAAATAATATACTGTTTTCAGTTTTATTCCTGCATGTACCAACCACCAACTATATCGAGCGACATGAACTTCAGGGCTCATGAAATTTTTTTCCTTCCCTCTACAGGACACAGAGATTGTGAATACAGCCATTCTAACCGGTCGACATGTTGCAGTGCCAATCAAAGTGGTTACTGTGGAAAGCGATGGGCAGGTGAGGGAGGTGGACGACTCTATCACCTGCAGCTCAACAGATGTGGATGTGGTTAAGGTAAGCATCCATAATAAGCACAGTGAAATGCTCATGTGTAAATTATAGAAATAGTTTTATGTAATAAACTTCACAAAAGGTGAGAACCTAAAATACCAATGCATTTTAAGACACAAGGAACCAAGAATTTGTGTATATTTGTGTGATATGGAATTGAACAAACACACATCTTGCTGCCTAAACTCTAGTATACCAATATACTCATATAAAACAGATAATACACAAGGAAAAAATCAAACTGTGAGGAGATAGATTTCTTTGCATAAATTATCTCCAATCTATCTTCAATTATGACTGTAATCCAAAGTCTTTGAGGACTCGCGTTGTTCTTTTATAAAAGAGCACTAGTGTGTTCAGGCTTTTCTTTCTTAAATCTTGTTTGATTGAATGGTAGTGATCAGATGCTGATATGGGATTCTTGCACTTATCTGCCTAAAAATTTTTTTTTGGTTTAAAGGACAGTTTAATCATAAAAGGGAGCCGGCTAAACTGATATGAGTTTCCTAGTTAAGCTGCAATTACTAAGCTATGGTTACACGTAAGCCGTATCGCAGGGATAAATGGTTTCGTATGGGTTTCCATTTTTTCACCTTCCAGACATCAGGAAAAATGGTTTGCTTGCAGGTCACATACATATAAGTATTCCAGACCTTCACATCTGTTGATTAAAAATTGCCAGGCGGAACATTCTTATAAATAAGGTTTCCCTTCGGATTTGGTGTTATTTACCAAAGCACAATGTAAAAACAAAAAAGGAAAGAAAAAACAAACACACCCATAGTTACTTGTTGGAATATTAATTCTTTGCTGTTTCTACATTGCTTCGATCTGAACTGTCCTACTTTCAATGGAATAATTAGATTTTTTTTTTTAAACCACTCATTGAATATAATGCATTAGAATCACAATACTTTATTGATCCCTAAGGAAATTATGATGCATCTTGTATAATTACATGTCTATCTTTTGTATGTGCGCAAGGATTAAAAAAATGCCCTGACTCATTGAGGATATAGCATAAGGATATCTTGACCACAAGTAGCACAGTATGACTCACACCCAATTCACTTACTGCATTCAATATTCATGAGACAACTAAAACTTTGATTAAATTACTATAATTTTTTTAAAAGAAATGTAGGCGGTTCTATAAGCACAAAAACCTATTTTTATATTATATAGACTTTGTATTCAATTTCAATTAAGTTCAGTTTTATTCATATAGCACCAAGTCACAACAACAGTGACCTTGGGTGGCTTTATATTGTAAGGTAAAGACCCTACAGTTTCTGTCACATGTATCATGCTTTTTCTTGACTCTGTAATAATTTAATACTTTCTGAGTAATGCCTTTCACAACAGGGTACAGGTAATTTGGAGCAGCTGTTAGAATGATACTATGACCGGTGTCTGTCTATGGCAATCTTAAGCTGAATCCCGTTCCGTTACACTTGGAACTGAACCTGGGATGGAAGGGCCAGCTTAAGCCTTAAGTGGCTTTTCCATACAAGCTGGATACACAACCACCACACTAATTAATAAACAAGTATTTCCTTTACAAAAACAAGCCAGTACCAAGGAATAAGGATTGATTCCTCTGGCACTACACTCCCTGTGCCCTCGGGGCCTAAAATGAAACACATCCTCGCTGTGACAGTTTCAATATGAAGCCAATTTCCTGGTACAAGCCGACAGGAGTGGTGCTGTTTAACTACAATCAATAACAACACAGGGAAAATGGAAAGTACTCATTCAAATAGATGTAATGTTAGTGTTTTGCTATATGTGTGTGGTGGGTAGGTATACCACATCTAGATGTTACAGACAACCGTATAGTACAAGCACAAATAAATATTTAAACAGCTATTACTGAGAAAGAAACACAGCTCTGTGTTTAAAAAAAACAGACTGCTGTCCTACCTTGGTGTAGTTTCAGCTGAGGTCAAAGGGTTATCACTACAGCTTGACCACAGAAGGTCAAACTTCAAGGTCAAAATTAGTTTAATAATACTGTAAGTAACCATTTTACAAGGTCTTATTACAGGGCTTACTAGGACCAGCTAAGTCATAAACCAGCATCTAACCACACATGAAAACACAATATTTTGTTTTTATACTCCTACTTTGGTGTGAAAAACACTATCTACCTAACGGCAGGTAGGGACTGTTACCTTTGAACAGAGCGGTGTTAGTTGTTTGTGTTTCCTGTAAACAAACAGCAAAGCAGAGGCTCATCTGTCCCACTATCAGAGAGAAATAAAGAATGTTTCAGAAAATGTTGATCATCAAGGCATTTCTCACCCACATTCAATGGAACCTTCAAAATTAGATAGTTTTCTCTATCATTTATGATTTATCTTGAAATAAAGCCGATGGCCATGGCAGCTTTTGAAATGGGGCACAGTGCATTAGCAATTGAAGCAATGCTCGTCATAGCACTCTGGGAGTTGCCGCACACATACTGTATGATGCACACTTCTGGTGAAGCTTTTAAAATTCTTTTATAGGTTTGAAGCTTCTGCAGTAATAAATGTCAGTGTAGCACTACATCAAATTTCTCCACTTTAACTTTATTCTTGATTTAGAAGAATAATAAAGTATAAATTCTTAAGGGAGAAAATGTTTCTGTGGGGGTTTTTTTGTCTTAGTTGGAGGCAATAAGCTCAGAAAGATTAGATTTCCATTTGGTTTTACATCAGATTCTATTAACTTACCTTTTGTATAATTACTTATTGTAGATAAATGTTTGCAGGGGGAATTGCACAGCACCCTTTACTGATTACCTGAATATATGGAAATGAATGTATGGGAATTACTTGGTGAACATATTCCTGGCTGCAGTGTAATGCTGTTT